CAGCAGTTGCTGCTGCTGCTGCAACACTGTTCCATCCAGCGCTCCAAGGATAAGGCCAAGGAGGGCCAGGATAAAACTGAAGAGGATTCATAGGAGTAAATCCATTACAAAGTCCCGGCATGCCATTTTGTTCAGGGAATCCATTTTCTTGACAATTAGAAGCTGTCACAGAGGAAGAAGCACAAGATGGTTCTTCTGTGTTGATATCTGTTTTCTTTTGCTCGCCCAGATTGAGAACAGAAGACATGGACTCACAAAGTGGTGCTTCTGGTCCAAACTTTAAGACTGTACCATTTCCCTTCAAAGACATCATAGGAGGTCCACAAGAGAGAGGTTGATGATGATGAGTTGGATCAATTGCTTCTCTTGCTGATGCCAATCCTTCAGGTGACATCATTATATGACGGTAGTGTGAAGCAGAGTGCTTGTTTTTACGCCTTCCAGCACCCACAGGGACATTCCTCATGGTTCCTCCAGCAGTCCAATATCTCTGGCAATTCTTGCAAAAGTGTCTCGGTTGGTTGACATTGTAATTGTTGTAGTAACAGAACTTGGTATCTAAACTGTTGCATCGAGGACATGGAAGAATCTTATCTGGCTTCTTCAGAACCTTTTCTTGTCCGGAGGTGTCAGCCTCGGACTGTTCTTGCTCGGGTTTGGAATCCGACTTTTCTGTGACATCCTGAGAGGATGTTTGTTGGTTACTTTCAATAGGATTGTTCAAACCAGAGGTATTGTTGTGATCATCTTGCCCTTGGTCTCTTGTGATGTCAAGTTCCTTGTCTTTGACAACATCATTTGTTGTTTCTGCGCCCATATCCTGCAACACAAATTGAAAACAATTCACTTTTAAACATGTGATGAGTTGAACACAACGCTTTCACACAAATCAATTTCAGAGTGCAGGCCTAATTGAAAGAGAGGAGGTAGACCCTAGAACAACTTCGGCAGAAAAGTTCACCTTTCAAAAAGGTCCAGTTGTACACTACTTATCAACAAACTGTATTTTAAGTAATTAGAGCAAAAGTGCGGAATAAAGACTATTAATATTGCTGTTATTGTTATAAAGCACAGTTGTAGAGTTTCAAACTTCACAATTTCTGCTTGCATATTCAAGCTTCTTATACGAGAATTGAAAACATGCATGTTCCAGCTTAAGAAGAACATACTGGAAAGAAACTTCCCCCTAGAAAGCCAGACTTATCTTTGGTCAATAGGCCATTAGGATAATATAGATACATGTTCCACATAGGCTGAAAATGCGCAGTTGCTTTCTAGCCTAAAGAGGCAGAACATGAAATTTATAAATTTTTATGTAGAAATACATCAATTTCAGTCAATAAAATTTACCGAAAACCAGAAAGACACACGTAAATCATGCTACTGCAGATTTTTTTTGGGGGTTTATCGTCCTGTTTATAAACTTAAATGGCAGCATATATTAATTTTCATCAACTTGCAAATGTTGTACAAGATTCATACTCAGAAAGTTCTACGAGATGCCAAATTCTCGGAGAACTACTATTCACATATTTTATGGGAAATATTGAAGAGAACTATAAAACAGACGTGCTTAAGTTGGTATTTAGCTTGCTAGCATAAGAGGTTTCCTAAATGACTAATGTGAAATATTTCACATCAGTCCTAATCCATCTACTAGCCATTGGGGGAGGTTCCGAGAATACAGCTCCATTCACAAAGCAATTTCTGTTGCATGCAACAAGGCCTGCAGGTAAACAAGCGCGGTTCCAATTTTAAAAGCTGTAATATTTGGAAACAGAAGTATCTGGTTACAAATAACCATGCTGGACTGGATTCAAATATAGCAACAAATGACAGATTCTCGCTTTGTTTGCTGAAGTGCACACTCAAGGATTAATTGCCAGAAACTGTTTTATAACATTATCATGGCTTTTTCATAGTCTCCATCAGAAACCAAAAGAGATCCACGAGATCCTGTTTCTATAATTTCTAGATGCTGAAAAGAGTGTTGCACTCTAACACAGACATAGTGATGGACATGAGCAATGCTCAGAAGTCCATGTAGAAGGACAAATTTGTACATGGCCTTCATCAAGGTTACATATGCCCGATGTAGAATGATACAAACCTGATGGACATGAGATACACGGACGTGTACACACATGCACCCATGCAGGCACAAATACATAAAGTGGATATGAGGTAACAGAGTGAACAAGGAGTGAATTGACAGAGTGTGCTTTTTACCGAACTTATATGATCCAAGGTGTTATTCTGGAAATATGAAGAGTCAACATGTGATAATTCAAAATAAGGAAGGGGTCAACATGTGACAATTCAAAATAAGGAAGGGTTCATATGGAAATTAGAAGGTGAATATTGATACCCAACTCAAATGATTTAAGTGTCGAATGGAGACATAAAAATTAGACATGCAAATGGAGATAAATTAAGGGTATAAAAATCGATAAGGAACCTTTAGTTTTCAGGTGCATATAGGCTTCATATTTGTCAAGATAGTCAAACATGGAGTGAAGTACTAAAGCGTCTAGTCACAATACAGATGACAAGCCAATCTTTTGTAGGGAGAAGGGTTCAACCCATCATAATTTATTGCTTATGTTTGTTCAAACTTCTATATAAATAAGCTCAAAGTTGTTGACCCTTCCCCTTTTTGCTTTTTTCTATTTGTGCTCCTTTATTTTTCTCTCAGTAATTTACAGGAAAAAAATTTAACAGGAGGCTTTCCTGATAGAAACCATATCACTGGACAGTAAAAATAACCTTCTACCTTAATTTCTTAATCACTAGATTCACGACTTTAGAAGATATTATATTCTTGTTTTTAGGTTTCCTTCTTATTTAGTATTTTTCTTTATTTATATGTACTTTTCTTATTAGATATTTCCTTTCATAGATATTCCACAAGGTGTATAGATATGTGGTTTTGGTCTCCTAGTCAATGAATATAGAACTTTTTCTCTCCTTTTATTTCACCATGGTATTAGAGAAAGCTTCTGAATCCCAAGGATTTTTATTATTCCTTAACCTTGGAACATCGAAGGGATTTTACGACAACATCATCTTCATGCAGCTTCGACACAAACAAAAAAAAATCATCCTCTTCATATCTATTGGATTCGACCTTGCCTACAACTTCACTGACAATTTCGTTTTCACGTTTTCCTCATTCATTGGATTTGACCTCGCCTTTGACATGGCATATGATTCACATCCCTATGCTCCAAAGTTGAGATTAACTCCTCTTCAAAATATACATGCATGGACAAGCAATTATGGCGATCTTCTATTGGACGAGTTTGTTGAGCCTAATAATATGAAACTCATGCAATGTATAACATGAATATTTGAAGGTCTCTCATTGTTTCTTATCACACAATTAATATTCATTGGAAGTGTGCCACCTTCTCGTCCGTGTAACGTATTACTCATTCATTCTTCTAGCGTTTTATATTGATTTGCATCGATCGACCCGCTCTCATTTGTCGTCATCTTCCCGACATCCAATATCTCGTCTTTTGTGATTTTTCGGTGTCTTTTAGTCTCATTGGATCTTTTTTTGTGTGGATCAACTACAGTTATGTAATGGTATGGTTTTTAATTTTTCTTGGAAAGTTTTTGTGTCTATGCCACTTAGGAAGCTTCCTTTTTCCCAATGTTGTTCGTGAAGCCTCTATTTCTCTGTCGCTCGTGGATATCTTTTATCTTGACATCACTTGCAAAGCTTCTTTTCCTCGACATGGATATTAAGTATCTTTTATCTTGACATCGCTTATGAAGCTTCTTATTTTTGGCATTATTCTCACCTTAAAGAGTTTTATAGTCATGTTTTACATGATCGGGTTCGTTTCTATCACTTTTATGCGAGTATGACCGTAATATCATAAGGAGAAAACAATTTAACTCTTCTTGGGACAAGTTGCATCTTGCTAATCTCTATATTCTAGATTGAGGGGGGAGTATAAGAAGATATTATCTTTTTATTTAGGATTTTAGTTTATTATAGATTTCCTTCTTATTTAGGATTATTCTTCATTTATGTTTACTTTTCTTAATGAAGAAGCTGACAACTTTTTATGTTTAGTAATAACCAGACTCCATAGGATTTTATAGATGAATATGTTAACAAAAGTTTGAACAAAAATGCTTGTGGGAGTGTAAATCTAGATATTTGGCTTATTCTATTACTTGGAGATGAATGTATTTCCCTAGAGCAAATCTTCTCACCTGACCCATCTCCTCAAGAACTTTTTACATATATAGGGAATATAAAGTTCACTCCTAGGTGTAAGTATGAGTTTAAACAGCATCATCAACAAGATAGACACATTCTCCCAGCTAACTAGTCATTATAGTTCATGGTAGAACTTCATCATCACAAAAGATAGGTCTTATACAACGGATATTTGAACATAATGGCTGCATGCTAGTGCCATAAGTTTCTCCAAGTTGCTTTAGCAAGAAATAGCATCATTCTAAGCCAGAACATAAGCAATAGAGGTCAACAGACACACATGTATGTGTGCATGCGTATAATGCATGTACATAGGTGGACATGAATGCACGCATGCACAAAAAACGAGGATCCAAATAAAACTTTCTGAAATGCAAAAGTCATTGAAAAATCTTTCAGTGGGATGAAATATCAACATTTCTATGATAATTTTCTGCCAATTAGTGATATAACAGCCTAAAATTGACAACTTAATCTACGGATAGAAGTCATATATCCTCCCATAATTCTTCAAAAGGAATTTCACATTCTAGCAAGACAACTAGAACCAGCTCAGGCTCAAAAATTCATATTTGCATAATCATTCTATAAGATTTCCACAGGATCTTATACAACTTATTTCTTTTTGTACAAAGTTTGATTTTGTTAGGTGTTAGTTGACTTAAATATCAGGTGTTATTGAGATATTAGGTTAATTTTATACGTAGTCTTGTAATTAGTAATTTTGGTTTTTCTATAACTAAAGATACATATAACCAGAATAGGTAGCTTTGGTGGTGGATGAAAATTCATTTATTGTTTATTGAGTGCTGTGTTACATTTCTGATACTCTACACATAAACCAATGAACAAAAAGGAAATAGGCTAACAGGAAGAAAAAAAACCACAGTCGTTTACTTCCTTCTCTCTCTCTCCAGCATCTCCGCTCATATCTAAGAATATTACGTTGAATTAACCAATCAAAATCCACAAATGGAAAAAACAAATGACCTTATTTTTCTTTCTTCTTCTCACTCTGTGTCGTTTTAAGAGTTCAACCGATAACCGTCCTTAGCACTGAATATAGGGAAACACCAGATTCCAGACAACTTCCTTAGAAGAAACACTAAATTAATCGCAAACTAAACATAAATAATCAGATACAAATTAAAAAGGTGGCAAATAATAGTAATTCACACCAGAAGTAGAACCATTGGAAACTATTCCTCCTACTATTTTGCTATTGGTGAAGGGTTTCACAAATTATCACACAAACCACTAAAAACATATTGAATACACAAATTTATACAAACACCAACTTGAACTATAAACATTTAACAAATAACAGCCAGGCCTTCTCCACAAAAAATCCTAGGAAAAAACCACCCGCAAGTAATCACAAATTAGTTGATACTTATAATACCACAACAGGAGTTGTTGGATTAAAAAACCAATCTCTATCAATAAAAAAAGCGAAAATCTCAAAGCATTTTCCTTCCTAAAAGCAAAAATAAGAGTCCTGGCTAACCTAATCACCCACGTTTAATCCACTAAATTCTAATAAAGATCAAAAGCATATAAAATTCCGAAATTTTCTTTTTTTTTTAGAACAACAAGAAGTAATTAGAACCAGTTAATCCCACAAATCAACCAGGATTTCGTGCTGAAATCGATAAATCCTTTTGACATAAAGAGGAACAAAATCATAATTTTACTAAATTCAACTTAAAACCTAAAGCAACCTCCTCCTTTTTAAACCCCCTTACAAGCGACCATCAAGAAACTCAAACAATTTTTCGAAAACCCTAAACTCTCAAAAAAAATTGCAAAATTATAGCTCTTTTCTGATTCTTACCCTATCTTCGCCGGCCGTCTCCGCTATCGGATCCAGATCAGAACCCGTACCCGGCCCGCTCTCGATCAGCGGGATCGTCTTGCCAAAAAGCTTAATCGCAGGATCCCCCATTGAGAGAGAGAGAGAGAGGAGAGAGAAAGTAGAGAGAGAAAAAGGAGACCGAGAACTGAGAGAACGATTAAAGAACTACAGGAGGCTCGAGGGGTAGAAAAGGAGCTCTGGGGTGACCGGCAGTTGACGGTATCAGGTAGGGACGGGTGCCAGCTGGAATCCCAGTCAGCAGGTAGGGGGATTTTCATCCACGAGTTCTTGTGGCTGGAGATCGAGTGGGTGACGTAAGCGGAGGAAAAGGGCAGGGCGAAAAGATAGAGTGGGGCCAGCAAGCGAAGCAACGCCCTTTTGCCTTTTGACTTGTAGCCTTCTCTTTTTTGTAAAGTTTTGAGGATTTTTATTTTGGGATTTACGGGATTGACACTCGGTTTGTGGATAATGATGGCTGTGCCACTCCAGTTTAGATTCTTTGAATCGAAGTTAACTGGACGATGTTACCCCTTGGGTCTCTTGAGGTTAAAGCATGGGCCTCTGGCACGCGACTCTCACGTGCCAAATTTCCCATGGAGAATGTCTACGATTACTAATTCTATCCAAAACGGAAGGATTTGGGTGGAAAAGCACTATAATATTAGTTGAATGTATCTGCAGCATATTCTAATTTATTCTGAGAAGTGCTCCGAATTAGTCCATTAAATCTCCAATAATTTTTATTAGTGAATCAAATAATTGAAATTACTCGAACATCCCTTAAATTGTAAAGGGTCTTGCAATTTGATCTATCAATTATGAAAGTACCTTTGAATATATCTTTTCTGAAACGCAAAGGGTGTTTTTTTTTTTTTTTTGTGAACAGCATTATGTTAAGTGAGGACTAACTTGTAAAACCCCCAGAATTTCAAAAGACTTCTTATTAGCGATTTTTAAGATTTGAGACAGTAATATGGAATTATTTGAATTTGAGGGAATAATATTAAAAAAAACACATAAACAGGAGGCAGCCTCCGTGGCGGTCTCGCAGGCATGTGAACAGAGTGCCCCGGCTTTTCTGCCCTCGCGGAGCAGGACAGCCGGCT